TCTAATATCTAAATATTTATATTTATTTTTTTAACATCTTAATGACTGAATCACATCAAAATATTCATATAAATAGACATATTTCTCTTTAGAGTATAGATATAATAATATTAGTGATATTTTTTTATATGATTTTGAGTTTAGAGTGCTATATAAATAAATATGAAGATATAGGTGTTAATTTTATAAATAGTATGTAAATACTCCTATTATGTATTGCCATTTTACTAAAACCAAGATATCTGAACTATTTTTCTTATTGTGTTGCAGATCAATCAGTTGAGAGGGAGATGAAGAGATATATTATTGCTTCTACTCCAATTATAGAGTACATTGACAACCTTTACCTGTCAAGGGATATCTGTTTGGATTGGTGATTGCTACTTTGCAGGTAAAGTAATTAGTTATTTGGCTTTTTTTAAATAGGCTTTGTATGTAATAAAGCTGTCACTATCCTTTTAAAAACAAATGAACTATTTTGCAAGATTATTTTCCATGTCCAATGTGCAGATTTTGCATAATATTAAACACATTATGTAGAGGTATCATTGTTAGGGAACGATGAAATAAATACAAAGAGAAATTGTAAAGAGAAATCATCATTTTATTTTTTAATTTGAACGTCGAACCCCACCAGGGCACCCCGACACATCTGCGAAATGTATGATGATCAAGGATATAGTTAAGGCGATGCGAGGCCTTAGTCACTTTATGTAGCTAAAAGATATCTTTAGCGACCATTTTTTTTTCTCTATTTTTTTGTCGCTATTGACTCATTTTCTTGTAGTGAAGGGTCGAACCAAATTTGAGGCAACACCAACAGCTACTTATAAGTTTGCACTCCTAAAAATTAAGGATGGTTCCGCCCCTGATGTAGAATATGATTCTTTGTGTGGTATTCACATTCAGCACATACATTTCATCAAACAAGTAGCTACAGATAAACAAAACAGTAGAAACTCAAAAACAGAAAACTATGACAGTTTAGACTCCTGAAAATATGAAGTTCATTACAAAACTGCTATGTAAAGGAAGCATGGCCAAAAAGATGGCATGCTGTCTCAAAAATATGAGCTCTATATTTATTGGTTTTTGTCCTTCTGCTCCTTCTGAATTGGGGACTTGGCTCTAAATCCATATTCAGCTTATAAAAGTTTAGAGTAGAATGAAGTTTGCTCAAATCAAGTATATGTGGACAAGTTTGATTGAGAGGGTCATGGCCTCAAAAGTCCACATTGGCTATATTTATGTGGTCTTTTGGTCTTTTGGTGTTGTTCTCCAATAAATTTGTTTGTTAGTTTTTTATTAATGTGCCTGTGTACCTCTGTGTATTGGATATGCTGATCTCCACTTCAACGGTTAAAGTAGTACATTGATCATTATCTGTAGAAGTCAATACTCCAACTTCATAGATCATTTATATATTATATAAAATAAAATCAAGACTAAGGATCTGCTTGGGATGGTTGTAGTGTTTTATAAAGTTGATTGTGAAGTTGCTGCGAAGGAAGTGACTTCGCTATTATAGTTACAGAAAGCAGTTTTCCATCACAAAAACTTCTGACAAATAATGAGAAAGCAGTAGCCAAAAGAAATTATGGTTGTTGTCTTAATACGAACCCAACGACACCAAATTCGACTCAGTCCGAACCCAAATGAGTCCAAATCAAAAACCCAAAGCACATTTGGAAGATTCAAACCATAATTTGGATTACCAAACTTGACATGCTTATATTTGAATCAAACGGCTCAACGAGCCAAGATACCCAAATTTTGATATCATTAAGAAATTCAAATGCGGTATGAAAGAGGCCTTGAGTTCGTGAAATTTTTGTACTAAAAATTTATTTTAGAAAGTAGTTAGAAAGTTGTTCCAAATGAAGCCTCAATCATAATATTTTATAGTTTTGTTCTTCATTAAAAAATCACAAACTTTTAAGTAAAAACAAAAAAAAAACAAAAAAAAAAACTCCATATGCACCATTATGTCAACATATGATAACATCTTGAGCAAATTGTTTAGTCATAATATATATATGAAAATATATTCTTGAATGCATAAGCTTCTCTTTCCTCCATTTATGAAAACATAATAGCATAAAACATGCTTAGAAAAAAAAAAGGCGCTAAATTATCATAGGTTTATAGAATATATCAAGAAGAGTGCAAATTAATAAATGGAATAAAAAAAAAGGAAATATACTTAACAAAATATTAGAAGCAATGCACATTAGTATGAGATTTTAATGAGCTAATAAAAAAAACCAAAATTAGTAATACCATAAAAAAAATGCTAACAATTCAATCCACCAAAGTGCAAATTCATTTTCATATTGTGGCTCATCAAAGCAGGTTAACGGGCCGAGTTTAGATTCTACGCAAAATTAATCTGACTTAAATTTTATCAACTGGAACTCAATCGTTTAATAAACAAGTCAAAATAATAAATTCGAACTCGACCCGTTGGCAACACGAAAGACCCAAACCTGACCTCAAAACTCATATTGATTATTTTTTTTAGAACTCGTCAACTATAAAGTTCATCTTAATTGATAAAAAAATAAGAAGATTATACCAACAATTAAAGAACTTACAGAAAAAAAATTAAATGTGTTACTTTCGGTTTAAAATCAGGTTCATGTGTCAACTCAAATTGGTATGTGTTTCTAACCCAAATCCAAACTATTTATTAAACAAGTCAACCTAAACCCAAAATTGTTGGTAGGGTCCGTATTAGATAGGCGGGTCGGTACATTTATTAATATCCCTAATTGTGACAACGTCCTTGAATTTAGGGAGCTAGCACGAGAGGGGAGCACTGTGGAGAGCTCGAAAGGAATTTGAATTAGACAACACTGGATTCTAATATTGACAATAGGAAATGTTTTAACAACAAACAATTTTAAAATTAGTGGTGCTTTTAATGAGCTAAGATTGGATTATCGTAGAATTCAAATCGAGCAGAGATAATTACACAGCTCATCTTGGCCTGTTGGTTGTGAGCTTAGGCTCCCAACTAGTAGGTCTTGTGTTTGAGTCTTTGTGTATGTATTATGTATGTGAATTTGCCTTAAATGGCCTAAATATAAAAAAAAAAATAGAGATAATTTATTAATATTTTAAAATTTAGATGTTCAATAGTTAAATTTATTTTTTGATATTATTGTTAAGCATCGCCCTTCTAATGACCCGTTTAGAAAAATAGATGTATTAAATTTGACTTATGTTAAAAAGGTTAGAGGTAATATATTAAAAATAAGGGATTTTTATATACCTAATACTTAAAACTATTCTATTTATTTATTTAACACTCAAACTTTAATATTTACTATTCTGCCATCTAAAATTCTTGCTCACATCAAAACTACCACTCTCTACCCTTCCGTCAAATAAGTCACCCCGACCGACCGCGTCTGAGTGTGAGCGACAAGTCCCCAGTTCTTGCTGCGACAATGGCGGCTGCTCTGCGATACATTTTATTGTCGAGCGGTGGCGGAGGAAAAATGAGGGAATTAGAAGCGGTAAGATCATGAGGCCATGGAGAAGCTGGTTGATTATTTTTTTTCCCAAATACATATTAACTGATTTTTTCAGCAATCAGATGTTATCAGAGTGTAATAACTGATTTTTCTCCAACTGCTGCAACGAAGAAGATAGCGAAAGGAAAGGCCCTACTTTGCTTCCCCCCATTCCCCCTTCAAAGCTTACGCCTTCTCCAAATATCGAGGCACCATCATCCCCGCCTCCTAAAAAAACTTGGCTTTGGTCATAATGATGATGATTATTAAGTAGCGTGGTTGGGCCCATCGGAGATGGTGCTGCATCGCCGCTGCTAATGGTGGTGGGTTCATGAAGAAGAACCGCATCGTCGTCGAGGAAGAACAAGAGGAGGAATCATTAGCATATGAGCTCAATCCACTCGACTTGGAGAAGATGAGTGTCGCGGGCGGCTTGCAGGCCGAGTGGCGCGGGTGATGTGCAATCGGAATGTTCACACGAAGAGGAGTGATTCCTGCGCAAAGCGAAGCAAGCGTTTCGGAAAGACAGGGTCAGGGTGAGTTAATTGACGGGAGTTCACGAGTGATAATTTTGATGTGAGCAAGAGTTTTTAGATATTAGAATAGTAAATAATAAAGTTTGGTGTTAAATAAGTAAATATAATAGTTTTAAGTGTTAGCTATATAAAAACTCCTAAAAATAATTGTTTTAATAGATTTAAATAAGATTTGATATTGTTGTAGATTATTCTTAAACATTATGGCAGCGGCGGCAACAGCGGCAGCACGCGAAGTCGTGAACGTCGAGACTCGATTGGGACTGCGACTCGATGCAGCGCCAGTCGCCAGAGCAGTAGAGCCGAGACAGCGCCAGTCGCCAGTGACGCGATTGGGACTTGACTCGACGCGTCGAGTTTATTTGCGCGCAGGGCGAGCACGCTGAGCAACAGAGCCGGGCAAACTCATTTCCGGGTCATTATCGGGTTTCCGGGTCAACCTGAACCCGACCCGTAACGCAAATCGTGTTTGTTTTTTGAACCCGAACACGACCCGTTTGCTAACCAGGTCGACCCGAACCCGGATTTTTTCGGATCGGGTTCGGGTCGTGTCAAAAATTGACAGCTCTATTTAGTCATAATTTTAATGTGCAAAAAAAATGTAGATATATATTTGAAAATGTATTCTTGAATACATAAGCTTTTCTTTCTTCCATTTCTGAAAACATATTAGAAAATAAAAGCGCTAAATCATGATAGGTTTATAGAATATATCAAGAAGAGTGCAAATTAATAAACGGAATAAAAAAAAGACAGACTTGACAAAAGATTAGAAGCAATGCAAATTAGTATGATATTTTAGCAAGCTAATCATAAAAACAAAAATACAAAATTAGTAATACCAAACAAAAAAAAAAAACATAAAAACGGTAACAATTCAATCCACCTAAGTGTAATTTCATTTTCATATTGTGGTTAGGGGCATCAAAATAAGTTAACAGGTTGCGAAAATTTGAAATTAATCCAACCTACATTCAATCAACAAGAATTCGACCCGTTGGCAACTCAAAATACTTGAACTTCACCTCAGAACTTATTTTGATTTATATATATTTTTTTGAACTTGCCAACTTTATCTTAATTGATAAAAAATGAGAAGATTATACCAACAATTAAAGAACTTAAGGAAAAAAATATTAAATGCGTTACTTTCGGTTTAAAATTAGATCATGAGTCAACTCGAACTTAACTCGTTTAATAAATTGGTAGGGGTTTTTGACTCAAATCCAACCTATTTATTAAACAAGTCAATCTAAACCCAAATTTGTTGGAAGGGTACTTATCAGAGAGACGGGTCGGTACATGTATTAATATCCCTAATTGTGACAACGTTCTTGAATTTAGGGAGCTAGCACGAGAGGGGAGCACTGTGGAGAGCTCGAAAGGAATTTGAATTAGACAACACTTGATTCTAATATTGACAATAGGAAATGAATTTTTTTTTTTTTTTTTTTGACAATAGGAAATGATTTAGCAACAAACAATTTTAAAATTAGTAGTGCTTTTAATGAGCTAAGATAGGATTATGGTAGAATTCAAATCTAGCAGAGATAATTACACAGCTCATCTTGGCCTGTTGGTTGTGAGCTTAGGCTCCCAACTAGTAGGTCTTGTGTTTGAGTCTTTGTGTATGTATTATGTATGTGAATTTGACTTAAATGGCCTAAATATAAAAAAAAATATAGATAATTTATTAATATTTTAAAATTTAGATGTTCAATAGTTAAATTTATTTTTTGATATTATTGTTAAGCATCGCCCTTCTAATGACCCGTTTAGAAAAATAGATGTATTAAATTTGACTTATGTTAAAAAAATTAGAGGTAATATATTAAAAATAATTTTTTTATTAGATTTAAACAAGACATGATGTTGTTGTTGATTATTTATAAACATCACAGTACTCTCTCTACATATATTAAAGGACAGCCTGTCACATAGTCATGAATAATTATTAGGTCCGGACACCTAACGTAGCTCTACATCCGGATGCCAATAACATGTCGTCACGTGCTCTTACTCTTTACCACGCGGCCCGACAACCCGGATCCGGTAATGCTATGTATTGGCTGATTTGTGCAAATCTGGATATTGCTAGGTATTGCTCAATATTGTTAGATATTAGTCTTGACAGAGCGGTGTTTCTTGTTAGTGTCAAGCAATACCTAGCAATACCGAACAATACATAGTAATACCGAGCAATAACTAGCAATATCCGAACATAGCAATACCGATTTTCCTGTCTATGTCGGGTCGTACGGCCACACGATAAAAAGTAAAAACACGTGGCGATATATTATTGATGTGGGGATCTAAAACTAAGCCAGGTGTCCGGACCTAATAAATATTCCAGAGTCAAAGAGTCAAGGTCGAAGTGACGAAACGGAAATCCGTTCTTATCCTCGTCCCCCAAATCCCGAATGCTATCATATTTCCGCTCCTTCTCCTATTTTTCAACAAACCCGCCGGCGATGCCCCTACTCTTCCGTAACAGCGGCGCCGCCGCTGCCGCTTCCATCAGCCTCCTCCTCCCCAACTCGTCCTCCTTCCCTCCTTCACCTTCACTCTCCGTCTCGCTTATTCCAATCCACCAATCTCGTAGAAGTGCGCACATCGCGCTTGCGAGGAGAGGCCTGGCTTCGCGCACCCGCAGGCTCGAGAAACGTGGCAAGGACCGTGGCGAAACGGAAGAGAAAGTCTTGGTGAAGGAGAAGGAGGAGATGGAGCCTTCTTCTACTGAGTTGGGAGGCGAAGGAGGAGGTGCAGAAATAGTGTATTCGACAGGCCCACCGCCGGCGCTTCCCGGATTGGAGCAGGATTTCTGGGAGGGGACTCAGTGGGATGCGCTGGGGTTCTTCCTGCAGTATATGTGGGCTTTTGGTATCGTCTTTGGGGTAACACTTCCTAACCTCTATGTCCTTTGTTATCGTCAGCTAATATATTTGTGTGGTCGTTGATTTGGTTAGGTTATGGATCTGACATGGATAAATGCGCCTAGCTTGTTAGAGAAGCGTCTGAATTAGAACGTTAGGATCTGGAGCTAATCTTATTCATCTTTCTTTTTGGGGCTATTTGGCTACATATAGGTCTTAATAATCAAGGTTTAAAATTGCGTAATTAAGCCTCGAGGCGGTTTTCGTCTGTGAGGCGAGGCGTAAGCCTCGAGGCGGTCTGATTGAATCTCGAAAACTTTTAAGTATGATGGCTGTTAAATTCATCTAAATACTACCAAGCTCTGTGGATATTTGCCTCTAAATTTAAAGATTTAACTAGAAATACAAACAACTGAAAAAATCTTATGGCAAGCCTATACTGAGTACAAAAGTTTCTAAAAATACAATATTGTACGTATAAAAACATAACTTCAATTTTTTGTGTATGAAATGATTCACCAGTCACAGTAAAATAATATTCAATTGTTAGCAACACGAAATGGTTGATCAAGTTGAGTGAACCTCGATCCTGAAGCCTTTGAAGTATCTTTTTGAAAGACGCCTCTATCTATATGAGGAATTCACTGCTAGAAGATCTCGCCTAGTGTCCTACAACACCTTTATCTAATTGCATGAGATGAAATTAATACATTATTAGAAGTTATATTAACGATAAAAAAATGTTGATTATGTAATGAAGTTAACATTGTTAACATGCATCCCATATATTTTTAGTATTTTGTATGTCATAGAGTATCTCCTTGAATTATCTCTGTAACTATTGCATGTACATATGGGCCTTCGTCGTTATCATCTTATCTCCCTAACTCATGATATCGTTGCTTCTAGTTTGAAAGGCGTTAACATACAAATCATGACCATATCATGAATTAATGAAAGTTTGTAGTACCATACAAGGTCAATATATGCTCGAGCATTCAAAGGAAACTATTATATGTGAGCAACAACTTTAATTCTTTCTTTCCAAATAACAAAATCCCTTGATGATTATATAGTTACCATGCAACAGAGCATATGAAAGATATACTTCAGTGATATTCAATTAGATTATATTCATATCCACGAAATGGTGCAATGAGTTTATAGGTGTTTGACCACAAATTAATGTTGCCCTAGTGTTACTCTTTATCCTTCATCTTCGACTCGCCCATCTAAGTGCCCTCATATCAGCTGTAGACCTTTCCAAGCCAAAAGTAGCATACAAAAAATGATGATCAAATGAGATTACAACTAATACCTTTTGAGAGGTGAATCCTTTCTATTATAATGTCTATTTTGTATTTAGTTACCAACCATTACAAGTATATATGTACTATCTATTACTCTGATAACATCCTTAAAAATTTATATGGAATTGACGGTTGTTTTGTATGTAAGGGGGACATTCTACATCATTTGCTAGTAATTTGATGAAATTTGTCAAAAGCATGGTTTTATAAATCACCAACTTAATATTTTATTGGAAATGTTGTAAAAATTCACACAATTGGTTACAACTAAGAGTAATTAGGAGATTAGTTGCTTGGAAAGGAGCATGAAGAACAAGTGATGCGGTGCATCTTTAGATAGCTAAGCGTTCAGGAACAATTTATATTAGCAGCATTTTTGCTGTAGTTTTTTAGTTATATTTGTGCTCCACTACCTTAGTTACTATTGTTAGTTATGCTAGTACTTGTTTACCTTTTTACAGTCCTTTGAAGGTTGATGCTTGAGAGCATCAAGAAGCTGAGGTTATTATAAGATGGAGTCCTGTAGCAAATGAATAGATACTAACATGCATTCTCATATATTTGGGTTATTCCCTGTTGTTTTCTGGTTTTGGTTCTTTCATCCCCTTCTTCCAACGATCCACTACTTCAAAAAGCCTAGAGTGTTTTGAAGTTGAGAAGGGGACTCTTATGAAGTTAGTTGAGAGGAACTCCAAAATGATTGGCATGCTATCAAGAGAAGTTGTGGTTAAGAGAAATTAAGAAAAGGTCTTGAAAAGATGCTCGAGAGTTGAAAGTCTCCCATGTCTGAGAATATTGTTACCAAGAAGTTTATAGTGTTAGCTTGGTGCCAACAATCTTGGAATTTAGTGTCAAATTTAGAGTCACCACTGTGACCTCATGCATTTAAACTCATGATTTCATATAATTAGTGTTTTCATGCTTTTTGATTGTAAACAATATTTCTTGCTTATCTAAAGGATGTTATAGGAGATAAAGGGGATCAGTTAAGAGATTGCAAAAAAATGTGATCTTTTGATCTTGAGTCCAAGCCTAGAGAGTAGAGCATTTTTATTGTAAAGAGAGACTCATGGAGTTATAGAGCTAGAAAGAGTGGATTTACTAAAACAAAAGGATTTAGTAGCATTTTAACATCTTTCTTCTTTCCTTTCACTTAACTACATTGAGAACTTCATGTTAATTCCTCGACATATCATTTTGTATCACTTAGGCTTCTAAGGTTCGAAAGGCAACAAGTTCTTCATCTACATCTACATCTACATTAGCAAGTGATGGTGTTCCACTAACCCCAACAACAAAACGTATACATTTAGATCCTTTGAAATCACTAGCAATCTTAACTTGCTTTACATTTTCTTCTTCCTCCTCCTCCTCCTCTTCTTCTTCAAATTGAGGTGTGTTGCTCCAAAATCCACATTGTTGTGATGAATGAGCTTATGAACTAATCACAATATGACATGTGTAACTTATCTAAAAAAAACAATATTGATGGAAAGGATTTCTTAGAAAACAAGTTAATTTAAGATTCTCCTATATGAAAATGTATGTAAAACTATTTTATTTTGGTGGATAAAAAATTAAATGAAAATACATATATGAACATAGATTGTACACATACATGTGATATCTCCTCCGGTATTTCATAACTTGTTATGAGGATATGTAACTCTTCATCTTTATCCCACCTGCTTCTAATAAATAATTGATAAAGCGTTCAAAAGCCAAACTTCATATTCTTAAACTGGGTAATGACAATTGCCTTTTAACATGTTATTCATAACTGATGATTCAGAAGATTGAAAATGCCAATCCAAGTCTCTTTTTTAATTCACCATTTGGCGTGTTTCCATTTAGAAATTGTTCCAGGAGAAATTCCCCACTCATTGTTTAACGTCGATCATGACATTTAGGTTTTTGATGTAGCTCTATGTTTAGTCTGTGCCAATTGATGAATCATGTGATGTATTATTCTACATAATAGAACTACCAAGATCAGTACTTTCACTCTCAAGAAAGTCTTCATGTCTATCGGCTTGTTTCAAACTAATTTTTTGTTTTTAATATAGTTCCATTACTAATTCTAAGTAAAAACAAGAAGCAACATTCAAAACTTTAAAAAAAAAATGATGCTACAAAAATAATATATGCATGGCATATAATACACCATTTCTGCAAGATATCAAACTAATAGAATACATAAGGAAATGACATATGACATGGTAGAAATATATAACTAATGAAATGCATAATAAAAATTAGGTTGGTTCAATGTTTATCGCTTCTCTTAGTTTAATGTTCAAAATAAAGTTTTGTTGAACCAATTGGTCGTGAATTGATATTTATTGAGTTAGTTAAAACCCAAAATCTCTATAGATTGCACTCTTGATTAACATTATGGACAAAATGCTTAAAAGGTGGGGAACATTCTTAATGAAATTGAAATCATAATTTTTAGCTTTTGAGTTTGCTTAATCATTATTTGCAATTAACTTTGTCAAGTGTTATCAAAGTTTTCAAATTTATTATATATTATGACTCGTACTTATTTTATGTCGATTATCCCACAAATTGAATAGTTATTTCAATTAATAAGCATATAAGTATCAACTCTTATATTCTAGATCCATCTAGAAATACAGAAGCTCTACATAAATCTTCACATAGTTGATGAGATTTGGACATATCTAAATAATGATAGGTTATTAGAACACCATTTAGATCACTGCACTAATCTTAATGAAATTATTAAGGAATCATTAATCACAATAGGGCATCAACCGGCAACAAAGATAGAAGCACAATAATGATTACATAAGATTATTTTCGCACCAAAATAATTATAAAGCAATAAAAAAATTTATTAAATCACTGAGATGAGCGTGGACAAAGCCCACGTTGATCAAAATATAGTTGAGGAGGAAGCTAATAGTTGGGAGATCAAATATAAATTTTCTTGGAAGGGGGGAAGAGTTGGACTTTTAGTCAACAAGTAATGGGGTGGAGGTGACAATGATATGTCAATGAAGCGGGAGCTATATGAGTCACTACCAATTAAGCTATGATGATGATGAGAGAGTGCTAATGTGAAATAATGATGAGAGAGTTATGAGAATGATGAGAGAATATATCTGGTGAAACTTCTAGGAATTTCGATAATGATGGGAGAATTCGCAGCAAGACAGAGGACATGAGGATATCCGGCCGTGGAAAGTTTATCAGAGGAAGGGCCGAAGATCTACGGCTACGATCGTATTACTCTATTTCTAAGCATTTATTTGTATTTGATTTATTATGTGTAATTTTTCATTTTTACTCTCACTTGAGGGAGTATATTTATGTGACCCCATGAGGCATTTTTGTCATTTGATGTTTTATTGTATTTTATCTATTTATAGGCCTCACCTTCACCTTGGAATGGATGATGATTATTATGAATGAAATTTCCGCACTTTGTGTCTTGGTGTGTTTTGAGAGTTTTGAGAGTTCTTGTGAGAGTTTATGTGAAGTCCCTAGGTGAGGGCAATACAAGACCCGTCAGCCGCAGTAAGCGTTTGAGCTCATGGTTTATCTCTGCCTCCATCCAAATCAAGCTCAGCCTGCCACCATTTCCTCCAAAAGCGCCAACCGACCCCTCCTCCTCCTAACTGCCGCCCCACCTCTTCCCATGATCGAAACTTACATGCCCTACTCCCCACTTTTCTTCTCCAAATG